CGCGGCCTCGCTGGAGCGGCACGGCCAGGGCGGCAGCTGCAAGGAGGAGCCCACGCCGTTCGCCTACCACAACACCTTCCTCCTGGCCGACCGCACCGAGGCCTGGGTGCTGGAGACGGCCGGCCCGTACTGGGCAGCTCAGCAGATCAGAGGTGAGCGTGCACTGGTTGTACTGGGGGAAAGTCCTTCGGAGCTGGACGGGCTCAGGTGCACATGCTGTTGCTCTCCTCGCAGCGCTGGGCCTCGCTCCCTGGTGATGCTGCTTGGTTTGGCTGTGTGTCAAGTGTGCTGGGTCTCAGCCTGGCTCACGTTGCTCATCCACCAGTCGATTCCTCAGGCAGGGATTTCCCCAAGCTTGATCCGCTCCGTCCTTTCCAGAGGGGAGCCGCAACATCTCCAACCAGCTCAGCATCGGCACGGACATCACGGCCGAGCATGTAGGGCTGCGGCAGCGCGCCCAGAGCCAGGGCTGGTGGAGCGGGGCCGGGGAGTTCAGCTTCGCCGAGGTCTTCTCCCTGGCGCAGCAGCCCGTCCGCATGGGGGCCGGCTCCTGGGGACCCAGCCTGGCGGTGACGTGGCTCTCTGCCTTGCCCGCCAGGCCATGTCACAGCAGAGACCTTCATGGCCATCCTCCGGGACAAGGCCAGCGGGATCTGCGTGGACTCGGAGGGCTTCCGCACAGCAGGCAGCATGGTGTCCGTGCTGCCCCAGGACCCTGCCTTGCCCTGCATCCACTTCTTCACGGCCACCCCCGACCCCTCCAGGTGAGGATGCTGGGGACGTGCGTGTTCCCACAGGACACAGCATGATGGGCAGGTGGGGATGAGGCAGAGCCGTACCCTGGGCTGAGTATGGTAGGGGAGCAGGATCCGTTCTCACGCTGGTCAGTGCCAGGGCCCCGCCTGTCTCTGCTCCTCTCCGCAGATCCGTGTTCAAACCCTTCGTCTTTGTGGCCGGCCTCAAGCCTGCACCCCAGGTGAGATCTCCCAGCTTTGCTGATGACCCCGCCAGGAAGATCCCACGGTTCCAGAGCAGAGTCGATCGGCGGCATGAGCTCTACCGCCGGCATCAGGCAGCGCTGGAGCTGATGGAGAGCAATCCGGTACTGGAGACCCTGCTCCTCCTGCAGAGCCTTTTCCCAGCCACTGTTGCCCCATGGGAGGCCATTCGGGGCTCTAGCCCTCATGCTCTCGCTCTGGTAATTTGGGAGGCAGTTGAACGTCCAGAAGATGCCAGGTCTCAGCTCTTCTCTCTCACTGACCCCACCAGGAGCAGGGCCAGAAGCTCCAGCAAACGCTGCGGGACCTGGAGAGGCAGGGCTTGGAGGCGGTGAACGCGCTGCTGGCGGGGACCATGGCTCCGAGCCCGGAGGAGCTCGCCGAGCTCTTCTTTGACTGTGTGGACACAGAGATGAAGTTTTACAAATAAACTCTGTACAGGTGGGTTGGGAGGAGAGAAAGGGTCAAAGCTGGGCCCTGGCTCAGCCTTTGAGGATCACTCCCATCCCTCCTCACTCCATCTTTCCAGCAGGGAGCATTGCAAGGAGATGAGAAAATGTTCCTCCCGCTGCCATGTCCCAGTTCCTCGCCTCCCGCTGCACAAGTGCTGCCCTGTGCTGGCTGCTAAACTGCACGGAGAGAAACGGCTCAACTGGCGTCTCCTGACCCTGCCCAGGGGCGTGGAGCCCCCAGCCCCATTACTTGTCCCGTAGGAATTGGCTCTTTCAGGGGTGGCTGTGACCCTCAAACGCAGGTGCGGGGGGAAGGAGAGGGACCCGCCACGCGGGGGAGGATGTGATATCTTCCCTCTGCTTGGCATGTCTTTTCCCAGGGCCATCCCACGCTGTCCTCCCCTTCCCAGCCGTGCTGTAGAGGGCCCCAGCTGCTGGCTGTGGGCTCCGTGCAGAGGCTGGGTATGAGTCTGCAGCAGGCAGACAGACAGACTGATGTAGGAATAAAGAGGCTTTAATTCCACCTGCGTGCGGTGCTGTGCTGGTGGGGGATTTGGGGTATTGCCTATTTCTTTGCTCCTCTGGGCTGGGCTGTGGCGCGAGTCTCCCCTTGCTGGGCCTTGATCCGGCTCTGGCTCCCACTGGGAACTCGCTCTGGCTGCGGGCAGGAGCGCTGGCTGCCGACTCCCGGCGGTGGTGGCTTCTGTGTCCCCGGCTTTGCTTGGGGACAGGGCTGGGGCCGCCCGGGGCCTAGGGCTGTGGTAAAGGCTGCTCCTTCCCTTCCTGGGTTCAGGGCTAGGTGGGTATCTGCGTCCGCTGAGCCGAGTGGTGTGGGAGACAGCAGCAGGCCCTGACGCTCCTCCAGCTCCTCCACACGGGTTTCGTGTTCGTCCAATGCCTCCCTCTGCCTCCTCTGCGAGCGCCTGGCCAGCTCCCGGTGCAGAGCCGGGAAGAAATCTGCCAAGGATGGAGGGAGGGAGAGGGAGAAGAGTAACAGTGAGTCCCTCTTGAGCAGGAGAGCCTGGCATGGCCACGTGAGCGCAAGTGTCAAACGTGTCCTGTTTCAGTCTGGGCACCTTTGCCTGCAGTGAAAGGGCTGCTCAGCTCAGAGAGGGACTCATCCTCTTCATCCTCACTGCTGGAAGAACTTCCTTCCTCCTCTTCCTCATCTGTGGCAGGGTCCAGGCAGCCAGGGACAGGCTGGGTGTCCAGCTGCAGGAGTTGGGGCAGGGCTCCCAACACCAGCTCCCTGCAAACACCAAACAAACGGTGAATGTTCCCCTGCCTCCCAGCATTGCCTTTGGTTTCGGAGCACATGGGGGTGACCCTGTGTCGTTGTGGCACCACTAAGTCCAGCTGTCTCTGGGGGCACACTACGGAGCACCCCACACCCTCAGCCTGGGATGAGAGCAGAGATCTGGGCTGAGATTTTGTGGGTTTGGGTGAGGTGCTCAGGTATTCGATGCTGTGGAGAGGTGATGGGTGTAACCTTGCTGAGCCTTGTTCGTGCCTTGGGGGCTTGCTCTCCCCCTCCGCTCGCCACCAGAAGTTCCCGCGACCCACCTGTATCCGTCTTGGTGGGTGCATTCATTTCCTGTTAAGTCGAGGAGACGGAGGCTCCGGGGCAGCTCATCTGCACAGATCAAAGGGAAGGAAGAAAGGTGCTGAGAAAGGGCCTAAGCCCCACCTGCTCCACTAAGCTCTGCAAGTGCAGCAACCCCCTGCACTCTGTTGTCTCCTGGAGCTCTTCACATGCATTCCTGAGGAGCCTCTCATTTCGCAGCTGGGGAAACTGAGGCAGGCAGGGAGGGAACGTGTATTCCACTGTCCGATGGAGAGAACAGAGGATTTTCCCAGGCCCTCACTGTTCCCTTCCTTACCTCCTTCTGCAAGCGGAGGGCTTGGTGCTGCACTAGTTACACTACAGAAGAGGAGAGTAGAATATTATCCCACTTCCCCCCAGCAAAAATCACCCATGAGAGAAGCTGGCTGAAAGGCTGATGCAGTGTGAACCCATCTATCTCCTGTCTGCCTAGCAGGGGCAGGATGTGGCTCCTGAAATGGACACAGGGTTGTCAGGGCTGGAGCAGCTTTGCTGTGAGTAAACCCCTCTGCAGGGGGGGTTTACTCAGGCTGAAATCCCTGGGGCTGATATGAGGTGCTTAAAGGTTCTGCCAAAGCAGGACACAAGGTGGAAGCAGATACCTGGAGTTTGCTAGCAAAAGCGATTGCTCAAACCTAGCCACAGGGCTCCTCTGGCGTGACACTCGCATACATCCCCGGACAGAGGACAGCTCTGCTGGAGCGTGTCACCCAAGTATCAGAGGCCCTGACAGACCCTGGACACGGACCAAGGCTCTGCCAGGCATGAGGTCGGCCAGGTCTCCTGGGCAGACCTGGGCCACGTCTGGATCTGTGCCTGCCTCCCTACCTGGGTCCAGTGTCTCTATCTGGTTCTGGGACAAATCCAGGAAGTGCAGGTGTTGCAGAGGCCGCAGGTTTTCCACTTTGCGGATGCGATTTCCAGCCAGAGAGAGGAACCTGCAGAGCACAGAGAGGGGAGAGGCAGAAGCTGCGTCAGCGAATGCCCGCGCAGTGCAGGCAGGGAGTGCCTACCACTGCCCCCAGGGTCAGAGGCAGTGCGGCACTGTGCTTTCAGGGCCTGATCTCCAAAGGACCCCATCTCACGCCCAAAAGGCCCTTTTGTTTTCAGATGCGATGACATGGGATCAAGTCTGTCTTTGAGCCCACGTGGCTGGGAAGGAAATAGTACTGGAGGGAGAAATCGTGTGCCGGGCCAAAAATGGATGCCACGGGCTTAAAAACAAACTACTGGGGAGACATTATGTAACTTGAACCCCCACCTCCAGCAAGGAAAGGAGGGAGCCCTGCTCGCCTTTGACCATAGGCCAGAGATGGGGAGAGCCCTGGGAAGCCTCGGGGCAGGAGCAGGAGCCACACGTACCGCAGTTGGGGAAAGCAGCTCAGGTTCTCAATCTTCTCAATTCTGTTCTGAAAAAAACAATACAATTCTCTAGTGCATGAAAAGACAGACTTCAATAACACCCCCAGGTCACTCCAACCACATGTGGGCAACATGACACCCCCACCACCGCCAAGGGAGCTCTACAGATGGGGTACATAGCCTGCTACTGCTTGGGGAGGCCAGCAGAGTACAGAAAGACCCTAAAGCTCCCTGTGTGGGTTTAAAAACCACTAAATAACCTCCTCTGTTTTCAGAACTGCTGTCCTCTGGTTTGGCAGGGACAGACTCTGAGGGTGGCAGTGTCCTGCCAGGGTGGGGAGGAGTGGGCAGCTCAGGTACATGAGGAACCACCGTTATAGGAAGGGAGATGTTGTTTTCACAGCCTAGGTAATTTTGCTGATGGAATTGGTAATGATGATGCAGTAAATGCCTCAAAGCACAGGGATTAGAGTTAAATGTGCTTTTCCTCGCTCTCGGCTCTATTCACCCAGGGCAAAGTGTCCCCAAGCCCTGGGAAAGGGAATGGTGCTGCCAGCCCCTCGGCAAAGCATCTGGCCATGTGAGGAGGCAAAAACACTGGAGCAGAACTGGGGGACTTCTGTATACTCTCACTCAGGCAGCATTCACCTGCAGGACCAGTGCTTCTCTCTGCCACCCCGAGCCTGCTGTAGAGCCTTACCTGCTGCAGGTAAAGGCTGTGAACCTCCTGCAGGCTCTGGAGCCTCCCAATAGCACAGATGTTCTCCCGATCCAAGCGGACAGTCGAGAGGGCCATCAGCGCCTTACATCTAGGCAGAAAGTCATTCCTGAGAGAGCCCTCAGTGCCTGGAAACCACCCCCTGTCGCCTGTGAGGCCAGGGCTGGTCCTGTGGCCCTGGGCAGGTCCTCACCGGCTCTCTGGGCTCTCAGTCGCCATCGGCTGGGGCAGGTTCCTTGAAGCGACGAGGGTGTCGGTGAGGGTCACCCCTGGAGGTGTCTGCTCCAGGCCTGCAAGAAAACCAGCATCCCTGTTCATCCCAGAGAGCCGGGGCCCAGTCCAGCAGGGTCCAAACCCAACGGTCCCACCACAGCCCCAAGGCCCATGACCCCCCAGGCCCCGTGATGGCTCACTCACCCCCCAGCAGGGTCTCCCCCAGCTCAGCCATGGGGGGTGAGCTGGATCCCTGTCCCTGCCTTGGGTCCTTGGTGATGGAACCCCTGCCTGATGCAAGGGGCAGGGGCACTGGGGCAACCAGGGCAGGAACAGGAGGGCAGAGCTGGGGGGCTGCAGCCTCCAGGCTGGGGGGTGGATTGGGGCTGGGACTCCCACGTTGGAGGAGACCCCAGGGACTTGGGGGTGGGGGGAACTAGAGTCCTG